GGACTTGGAGGGAGGCGCAGGAGGTGGGTAGGTGTGTGTGCGTGTTTGTGTGGGTGGGAAGGGATTTCTAAAAATGAACATTAGGGGACCCCCCCCACTCCCCAGGGACCGCGCATGGGGGGGAAGGGTTTCCTTTCCAGGCCATCCGGTGGAAAACGCCCCCCCCCCGCGGTTGCTCCGCCTGGAGGGAAGGAAGGAAAGAAGGACCCTCGTTTCAACCCCCCCTTTTCCTCCTCCTCTTCCTCGCGGGGTGGGGGCCTTCAGGGGGAAGAGAAGATAGGGAGGGTTTTTTGTTTTTTTCTTGCCTAGAGACCCCCGCCCTTGCCTTCCTTCCTTCCTTGGAGGGGGGGGGTTGCAAAGTGAAGAAGAAGGGGCCACTTGGTCTCCCCCCTTTGGTCTCTTCCCCCCTCCTTGCCTTCCCCAGAAAAAGGGCCCCCCAAGGGTCCCTGTGTAAGAGTGAGTTGTGTTGTAGGTGGGTGGGTGGGATTCCACACATGAACACTAGCTCTTCGTCCCCCACTCCCCAGGGAGGGTCCCCCACGCACAATGGGGGGGGATAAGCGCAGCAAAGACATGAACATTAGACACACACCCCACTCCCCAGGGAAGATCCCCTCCAGGTAATCCAGTGGGGGGGAAATGGGGCAAAGTCCCCCCCCCGTGTTGCTCCGCATGGAAGGAAAGAAGCCCCCCTTCCCCTCTTCGGGGGGGTGGATCATGATCCCACCTGTGGGGGGGGGGAACAAGGAAGCTCGCAGGGATCCCCTTGATGCCATGTGCATGTGCAGGGAATCATTCTGAGGGGGATGTTTTTCCCTCCTGCATGGAGACCCCCCTTTTCCTTTTTTTTTTTTGCTTTCTTTCCTTTCTTGGGGGGCCGTTTCAAAGGGAAGGAGAGGCGACGACTGGGTCTCCTCCCCATCTTTATTTTCTCTCCCCCCCGTCCGTCTTCCCTGCCCCTCCCTCTTTTCTTCCTCCTCCAGAAAAAGCACAATTATAAGTGAATCTCTGAACCCCATTTTAGCAGACAGTTTTGTCCATGTTTTCGTGTTTTCACCTATTGAATCGTATTTTAAATCATATATTGTTTAATTTGTCTTTTAATATTTTAACTTACTGTGCCCTGATGGCTCCCATTATGAACCCTCCCCCTTCCTCCCCCCTCACCTCCCTTCAGGAAACCGTTAAGGAAGGGGAAGGGGGGAACCATAGAGCCAGGAAGGAGATAGAGGACCACCTCTCCTAGGGGGATCGGAAGCGGAAGCCGCACACCTGCCATCCTCTCTCTCTCTCTCTCTCCAAACTCTATGGTCTTCCTCGTCCATTTCCCGCCAGAGGACTTGGAAGGAGGTGTGCCGAGGTCAGTAGGTGTGTGTTTGTAAAAGAGATTTGTGGTTTGGGGGGGATTTCCAAAAATGAACATTAGGGAAAAAGCCAAACCCAGCTGGAGGGAAGGAAGGGCCCTCGTATCACCCCCCCTTTTTATTCCTCCTCCTCTTCCTCCTCTTTCTCGGGGAGCAGGGGGAGGTTGCTTCAGGGGGATGGGAGAAGGGGGAAGAGACCCTAACCCTGCCCCCCCAGAGCTCAATGTGGACTCCTCCCCCTCCTTTCCTCCCCAAGGGAGGAACCTTCCTTCCCCCCTAAAGCCCCCCCATCACCCACCCCCCCTTTGACCCTATTCTGACTTATTGGCTGGCTGCCCCCATCTCTGTGAGTCCATTACAAATATCTTGACACCCCTCCTAAATACAGTGGTGCCTCACATTACGAGATTAATTTGTTCCAGCAAAATCGCTGTAGAACGAAAACCTCGTAAAGCGAAATTAAAAAGCCCGTAGAAACGCATTAAAACCCAATTAATGCGTTCCTATGGGCTTGAAACTCACTGTCCAGCGAAGATCCTCCATAGCACGGCCATTTTCGCTGCCTGTGCATCTAGAAATCCATCCGAAAACACAGCGGGGAGCCATTTTGTTTACCTGGCCATTTTGAAACTGCCGATCAGCTGTTTTAAAATTGTCGCTTTGCGATGATCGGTTCCCGAAGCAGGGAACTGATCATCGCAAAGCGAAATTCCTCCATAGGAAACATCATTTTGCGATCGCAAAAACATTGACGTCAAGTGATTTCGTCATAAAACGGAGCGCTCGTCTTGCGGGGCACCACTGTAAAGTTTTGAATATTCACGTTCTCCTTGACAAAACGACATGTCTTCCTTCTGGAAGAGGGATATTCAGCAATATTGTCTTTACCAGGGCAAAATTCAACTTTTACTTTTCTCTCTTTTTACAGCCTGCCTTACGTCATAGTATTTTGTACATATGTTTTTGCTTCTGCCTTTTACACTTGTATTCTCAAATAAACTGATACATGCCGTGTTATCTGTAAAAATAGGCATAGGCTCAGCTCCATTAACATTTAAATATTTAAGTAACTGTTTGATCCACACTCGTTCTGTAGTTAACTCATGTAAAGAACACATTTCTGCTTGCTTCTGTGTCACTAGTGGAAAATCCTGTTTGTTTCCTGGACTTCCACATCATACAAGCATCCCCCCCACATAGCTTGTTAAACCAGAAGTTGATTTTCTATCTGCAGGATCAGTTGCCCAGTCAGTATTTATATATGCTTTTAATTCAAGACTGCTTCCAGCATTTAGTTTTAGCTTCTGATCCACAGTGACCTTTAAATACCTTAATAACCTTTTTACTTCATATCAATGGTTGACTTGTGGCTTCACACACTTCTGACTTAAGATGTTAACACTAGCAGCGCTATCAGGTCTTGTCCACACTGATAAATATAACAAAGACCCTATCACTGATTGATGCAAGGGAATGTTTTCAAATTCTCCTGTATCATTATCTTTATAGAAGTCAGTCACTATAGGAGTAGAAACTTTGTTTGCTCCAGACATGATACATTGCTTAAGCAAACTTTCTGTTTCATCTTTTTGACTTGGAACAAAATGCTTTTGTTCATCCTTGCTCACATGATCCCCTAGGTAATTTTGAATTTCTCCTAGATACTTCATTTTAAAGTGTTTGTTCATGTTTTTTTTTAAAACCACTCTACCTGGCTTTTGTTCTCCACAATTAGACACAGATTGTCTACCTTTACGGTAGACGCAAGAATCAGCAATGCTGTTAACAAAACCTAGCTGTTTTACAGTGGTGCCTCGACTTAGGACTGTCCCAACTTGCGACCAAATCGAGTTACGGCCAGCTCCGGTCACAAAATTTTCCTTTGAATTGCAACCGGGGCTTTGAGTTGCGACTGGAAAAAAGGCAGGGAAATTTGAACTACTTTCCCTCCTTTTCTTTCTTTCTTTTGTTCTTTCTTTCTTTATTCGATTTTTACCCCGCCCCTCTATATAACGTCTACTCAGGGTAACTACTTCTTCAGTTAATCGTTGGCTGGCAAAAAGGTGTGCTTTTTTGTAGCTCCTTTGCCCCAGTGATTAGACAGTGTGTGTTCTGAGGGAGGCTTCGGACTGCCTGGTACTGCTTTTATTTTTGCTTTTTGACTTTCTTTTTTAAAACGGGGAGACTGCCTGTTCTGGTGAGTACTGGGGTTTTGCAGCATGGATTTGGGCTGGGCGGCAGTTTGCTGGAATAGTGGGTGGTTTTTTTGGCTGCTCAGGTTTTGGCTGGGCAGGGGTTTATGTTTCTGTGCTTTGATGGGTGTGTTTTTAGTGGGGGGGTTGGGCCAGAATGAATTAATACCATTTCAATGTATTAATATGGGAGATGGTGCTTTGAGTTACAACCAACTTGAGTTACGACCATCATTCCAGAACGGATGAATTTCACAATTCAAGGCACCACTGTAGTCTTCTGTCCAACAACATATTCCAGTATTGTACACTTTGTCTCAAACCATATAAGGCTTTGTGCAAGTTTAGCACTTGCTTTGGATTCTCATCTTGAAAGCCTGGAATTTGCTTCATATATATATATTTTCAGGCAAGTCAGCATGTAGATATGCAGTCTCTATATCAAAATGATGTACACTATACCCTTTAACACCTGTAACAGTTAAAGCCACTTTAAAGGAGTGTGAGCAAGAGATAAAAAGTGTGCTGTCCTCCAAGAGAGAACAGACAGAAGTAAATGAGGGCTGCATCGTGGGA